GGGGGTGGAGTTTAGTGGGTAGGCGCCTGGGTGAAGTTTCGGCTCCGCAGCCCGAGCCCCAGGTGAATCCCACACTACCCTCTGGCAGGGATGTTCCCATTGCACGCCAGAGGGTGTCTTTTTGAAGATTCTCTACCCCCCGGGAGGGGGCTTCGCCCCCCCCCGACAAAAAAGAAAAAAAAAAAAAAAAAAATACGGTTAGGTTAGGTTTGGGTCTTTGGTGACGGTGTGCCACCTTGACGTGGTGCCAGGGCTCCCCGCAAATCCACTCGTGGAGATGCGGGACCTAAGAGCACACCCGAAAAAGCTTAACTTCGTTAAAAAACTTGGGGCGCCATACCCAAAAAAGGCTCTGAGGCTTGCACTTCACCTTATGACCTAAAATTTGGCCAGAGAAGTACAACTCTGGAAAAAAACTGAAGGGGAAAACCTCAAAATGGGCCTCTGTAGACTGTTTCCTTTCCTTTCCTTTTCCACCTCCCTTCTTACCTTCTCCCCTTTCTCCTCAGCCAGCCTAAATGCCCTAAAAAGCCGAGGAAGGAAAAACCTCGTTAAACAACCGGGGGTTTGAGATACCTCCTGATAAAAGTACTCAAATGGGATAACCAGCTGGCCGGGAGTCCAGGCTTAACAAAGATCGTCCCGAGGAAGGAAAAGCTCGTTAATAAACCGGCGGTTTGAGGACACCTCCTGATGAAAGGTCCCAAATAAAAATACCCAGCTGGCCGGGATCCAGGCTAAACAAAGATCGTCCAAAGGAAGGAAAACCTCGTTAAACAACCGGGGGTTTGAGGACACCTCCTGATGAAAAGTCCCAAATGGAAATAACCAGCTGGCCGGGACCCAGGCTAAACAAGATCGCCCCGAGGATAGATAGGTCTCGGTTAAACAACCGGGGGTAATGAGAACACTCTGATGAAAAGTCTCAATGGAAATACCCAGGCTGGCCGGGATCCAGGCTTAACCAAAGTCGTCGTGGGAGTGAGGGCGGCTCCCTAAAGTTGCTTCGGGAATGGACGACCTAGTACATGTAGCGAAGGTAGGCTACCAAGCCAATGGGCCCGACGACTCGGAGTACGACCCGGAGAGGGTTAAAAAAACGTCCAGGAGAAGGATACTCCTTGAATAAACCTGGGATTCTTAAAGAGTGGTGCCCATGATTGAATTACCCTTGTGATGGGGCGACCTTCGGGTCGCCGTTTCAGTGTTGTAGGTTGTCGATAAACCTTCGTGCTGGACCTTCGGGCACATCACTCTTCCCTCTCGTTGTGCGCCACCTTGTCGTGGTGAAAGGGCTCACCGGGGGCTGGCCCGCTGGGGTCGTCTCACGGTGCTAAGAGCGCACAGTTCCTCCTTAGGGGGGAACGGGGGTCCGGCTACCCCTCAAGGGACTTGTCCCGATTAGCCGGTAGGGGTTAGCGGCCCTGACTTCAATCGCCCGGATGCCTGGATCCGTTAGGAGTGTTATTCACTCCACCGGGATAGAGGAGTAAACCTCGAGAAAAAATCCGGGGCCTGACCAGCCTCGTTAGCACGCCGGTGTTCCGGCATAACGGTCGAGCCCCCCATGGCACGTGGGAGGGGGGCGTGGCGATTCATACCGTAACCCCAGTTTGTGGGGCCGGGGGCCGGTACTAGCGTAGCTAGGACGGGCTGCGAGGGTAGTAAAACCTCTATAAAAAGACCCGGGTAGGACGAACTCGATAGTCATGGTAGACAATCGTCCTAGTGGAAGGAAAATCACGATAAAAAACCCGGAGAAGACAACTCTGTCAACAAATAACATCTGATAATTACTTTCATGGAAAGTACAGTGTTGAAGACTGCCGATGGGCTTCGGATCCCGGAGGCCGGCGTATCTGGGGGTACTGTCCCTGCCCCCAGTATGTCGTTATCCAACGAAGGGCCAGCCGTTGCGTGCCCCGCGGGCGCGACGGTAGAACATACTACCGCGAAGGAAAGGATGGGGAGGATCCTCGAGACGGTGAAACATGCCGCAAGGGGAGTAGCGGTAAAACCGTACTTCTTCGGAGAGAGTGCCGGGGAGCTCAAGAAGAGCTTTTATACGCTCTGGGCTTTCCTGGCCCATCACGCAGAGGATGAAGAGGAGAGAGAAGAGGGGATTGAGGCGTCCAAACCACATCTCGAAGAATTCGAGATCTTGGACGAATCGTTCCCTTACGGGGTATCCCCGGAAACGGTGGCGAATGCCCTTATCAGGGCGTTCGATATCATCCGCGAAGGGGATAAGGGAGAGGAGGATGCATTCCATCCGTGGAGAGGAGTGGCTCAGATATACGGCGATTTCGGTATAAAAGCCGAGGACGCCGTCTGGATTTTCGTAGCGGAGCTTTATGTCTCTGTCGCGGAATTATTAGGGGATGATTTCCCTCCAATCATGCGGGAGAACGATCGGGCCATGAGAAGGCTCGAAAAACTGGGTATTCCGTGGGTGCCGGGTACCTCTAGTGTTTGGAAGGAGGCCTCTCTCCCCACGGCCTCTGGGCTTAGAGGAGGGATGCCGCCGATTAAAAAACCGGCAGCCAAAACCCTAGAAAAGGCGACGGGGAGGAAAATCAAACCTGTGACTCTCCCCTTGTCCTCCTCTGAAGAGGAGGAGCTATTGGGGGCGGTTGAGGCAGCTTCCCCCTTTCCCCCTCCTTTGTCTCTGGACGAGATGGGGGCGGAGGAGGCTGTGGGGGTTTTCCCTTCTCTGGATATCCCGGAGAGGGGTGACCCCCAGCTGGGTCCGTCCACGGAAGTAGAGGGATTACCCCCTCTCCTGATGGACTTTGAAAACGTTCTCGTCTCTTCTGAGGACGAGGAGATCCCTCCCCCGACCCCAACGAAGGGGCGGGTAGGGGGAAATGGAGGTCAGGAGGACAGGTTTGTCCTTCTCAATAGAGGGCAGGGAAGACCTCGTAAAGATGGGACGGGTCCATTCGCAGTCCCACCTGATGATGGGGAGCTGGAAGAGGATCCGTCCTCGGGTGACGACGAGGTCAGGAACTTGGAGGATACATTAATTCCCTTATCGTTCACTGGCCAGCAGAGGATTCTTGCTCAACATAAAATCAAGAAAATGGAGAGGGGCTCTATTAAGAGGTTCGTAAGAACTTCGATCGAGAGCTCCTCTCCATCGAGAAGACAAGACAGTGTTCCAGGAACATGAAGGGCGAGCTCATTGGCCGTATAAAGATAAGCATCTACGTCCTGAGACAGGTGCTCTGTACCCTCGCAGACAGAGCGGTAAAAGGAGGGGACCAGGGATACTGGATGGCCCAGTATACCTCGATGGAGAGGGAAAATGAGTCCCTAAAAACTCATATTCGAAGCCTTAATACAAGGCTGAAGAAAAGGCAGTCGGAGCTTGCGGATCTGAGAGCGGGAGAGGAAGAGCTCCCACTGTCGGACAGATGCCAACAGAGGTTGACAAGGGGGGGCTCACCCCCCCCCAGATATCACCATGACAGAGGGGGCAACATTAGCCCCCGAGGTCGAGGTTGAAGAGGAGAGACCGGGGTTTCCCCCCCCCTCCCCCATTTCCGCGTTCATCGCGTTGACCCTGAGGGCCATTCATGAGTCCCTTCAGGGCCTCATTAAGCGTATGGATGCGTTGGAGGAGGGACGAATCTCCGCACCTGCCCCTGCCGTTGGCAAGGAAGCACGGGGGCCAGGCAGGAAGAAGAAAAAGACCCCAAAGGTCACCCCGAAGGCCCTTGAGAAAAGGACCGCTCCTCCGGCCCGGACAACGGGAGTTTCCCGGGAGGGAGAGAGGGCTCTCCCCGCCCCCCCTGTTATTGGGGAGAGGATGGGGAATGTCGGGGGTCCGCCCCCGGGGTTGGGTGGGGGAGAGGATGCGAGTCTAGGCCCGCAGAATCCCCCTCCCCCCCGGGAGCCCCCCTAGACTAAAGTAATAGGACGCAAGAAGGGAGGGAAAGGCCGGCCCGGCACCTCCCAGTCTGCTCCTCTCCCTCCCCCCTCCTCTGCGAGGAGGGAGGAGAAGAAGAAGCAGGATCGCACCATCACGATCAAGAAGGCGAGGAAGAGGCTACTGTAAGCGTTACGTTAGGTAATTACGCGATACGTACGATGCACCACCGATGGTTACGGCACGTACATCTACGACCGACACTATTCTCACAATAGCAATGGCGATACCGGTAATTACATAAATGTCCACTCGAAATTACTTATCGAGGATCTGTCAGGATCAAAAGGCAGGACGGTATATTAGGTGCAAACACAATAATACAATAACGATATTTATTAATATCATTAACACTCGCGTACATACATCGTGGTACTGATTACCGAAAAACACGACGGACGTGTTGTCACACGAACTGCTCAAACGGCAATTGTCCGGCACACATGCCGTGACACGCTCAAGGATCGCCTATTGCATCAGCTAATCCTGATTGGCCCTTATTAAGGATATTCCTACGCCTAGGTCGCTAGACGCAGCGCATTAGATAACTCGCGCGT